AGGGGGCGCTGTGCTGGAGGGAGCGGCGTGGTCGACCCAATAGGGGGCGCTTGCTGGAGGGAGCGCCAACCTTTTTTTAAACTCAAGCATAAAACCAAGTTACTCATATGCCCACTCATGGCTGTGAAAGATCCCATGACACTCTGAGCAAGAGTCTAAGCTACTGCACACGGTGCCCCCTTCAAACAGAAGACAAAGCAGCAAAATGTACAAAAAAGGCCTTTAAAACCCCCAGATTTAAATTAATTGTTGATCTAAAAAGCCACGGACGTGAGAAAATGGATACGTAGTTGTCCATAGCTATGAATAGCTACAGATGTAATTCTTGATATTGCTTTGGTTTATTTAAAGAGCAACGTCTACAAAAATCACCTGTCCACAAGCCGGGCCGTTCCGACACAGGGAACAAAAACTAATAGCTCATAATATCATCGCAAGAGATCGGCTCCACTTCAATCACAGTTCCATGCCCGTGGGCCAAGAGAGATTGGATTTAATTCCTGCCCATATTCAGCGACTGGTAAATAAATAAATTGATCATTGTGAACGTCCAACTGTCCAGAACCACAACGTCAAACCGGCACGAGAAAGGACTCTTCGTTCTAAACCTCGATTTGAATCGTGTGTCTCAGCCGCAGGTTGTTCACTCTGGGCAGCAGCACTGAGAAATCTCCATCTCCACCTAACCAAGGAGCATGGTTAGATTGTGAAAGTCTCTCTGCTGTGTTATGAAAATCAACACGTTAAAAAGTGCTTGGGATTAGGGATCAGGTACTTTACTCAGAGATTGGCTGGCTAATACAGCCACCCGAGCTCCTGTTATTGTCAATGATCTCCCCTTCTGTATGCGTTGTCTGCTAGTGCCAGAGGCGCTGGAACATTTTTAGTAGTGGGGGTGCTGAAAGCCAGCCCCCTTCCCCTACCCCCCCCCACCCCGGAGGCTGGGAGCAGGGCTGTGTCTCCGGGAGGGGGGGACCCAGACAGGGGTTAGGGGGGCGAGGCCACAGCTGGGGCTGGGAGTGGAGCCCTGGGAATAGGGCCTTCACTGAGCAGGGGGCCGGGCACAGGGCCCCAGGAGCAGAGGTCTGGGAGTGAAGGTCTAGAAGCGGAGTTGGGGCAGGCGTCAGGCCTCAGGCCCCAGGTGAGGTTGGGGAGTGGAGCACGGGTGGAGGGCAGGGAGCAGGGCATAGGCACAGAAAGCACCCCCAGGTTTTATGCGCAGAGCCAGCAGCTGGGAAACGGGGCGCGGGGCCACTGCAGCACCCTCGCACCCCTACTTCCCGTACCTATGGCAAATGCTTTGTTACAATTCAGTTCTCTTCAGATCTATTGCTCCTTGGGCCTCGCGGTAGTTGAACTTCAGGTTGGTCGAAGCGATGAGAAGATTAGTGTGTTGACGTTCCCTGTCGCTGCCCACACTTGGACAGAACGTCTGGGTGGAGGAGGAGACAATTGGTAGGTCACCTTGGACTAGTCTGGCTTGCCATGCCTCAGTTTCCCCATCTGTAATAATCTGGGCAAGAGGCTTTGAGATGCGGGGGTGACAGGTGTTATCTACATGCAACGTAGGGTCATTACAACCACACTGTGCTCGGCCTGTCACCAACTCTGCCTTTCTGTGAGACCCCTTTGCAATCATGCCGGCCAGGCAGAGCCCCCGTGCGGCTCTATGGGGCGTCACGCCGACTCAGCTCAGCTTCGAAAGGAACTGTGGAGATGTCACTGTCACGCCGGCTGAAGGGCCCATGGTGGGGCCCTGCGTGCAGCAGGACAGGGGTTAACAGCCCAACAGAATTCTCCACCTCCGTGAACCCAACATTTTCTCTGCAGTGGAAGCCCCTGGAAGTCCAACTGACCCACCTGCCTCTAGTCTCCCAAGGCCAAGGACATTTCACCTGCAGCTCTCAGCATACTCAACAGCCGTCGGCCCGTCAGAAATTCCTCCTGCTCTTGGCTTCGGGCTGGGTGGCAAGGAACTCCCGGCCCATGGGAACTTGGCGAAGCCCAGCTGGGGGGACTGACGGGCACTTATTACCTTTGGGGGCAGGGGGCCGGGCCCAGCCTCTGAAGCATCCTGTGAGTTTCCAAATGTTTGAAAGCGAATGTAGGGCTGCCGGAGGGGGTCCCCGGTTATCTCCAGAGCAGGGACAGCGCGAGCAATGACCCTCCCACAGGGCTGGATTTACGCCTAACGCACCCCTAGGCGCAGCTTCTTCAGCGCCCCCCTCCCCGCCTACCGCTGACCTTCGTGTTTTCCGTAAAAAATGAAACGAAAAGAACTATAAATGCAGCCTCCCCGGGAAAGCATGAGACCCTCCACTGTGCCCAGCGCTCCCAGCCCGAGCCGGGGTGCAGCCAACACACCCCCGGCGAGGCGCAAGGAGGGGCCTGTACCCCTCCCCACGGCAAGTGGTCCCCGAGTGTCTTCCGTCCCTCCCGCAGCCCGGTGTCCAGCAGCCGTGCTCTGTCAGTGCAAATGAAGGGGGCACCAGCCACACCCCAACCCCTCCCTGCCCAGCACGGGGTGGGGGTGGCTGAGATTAGGAAGGGGCTGAGACGCTCAGAACATTCAGCAGCTACCCTGCCCGGCCGCGGCTCCCAGCACCCCCAGGCGGGCTGATTCGGATGCTCACCCTGCTCCAGCCCCACACGCTGGCCGGCCACCAACCCACGCCAGGAGCCCGGCTGCCCGCTGGGGAGCTGTATTAACTTTGAACCCACTTTTTACTTTTAGGTGCCCCTAGAACACCGGTGCCCCTAGGCACGTGCCTACTGTGCATCAGTGGAAATCCAGCCCTGTCCTCCCCCAGGAGATCCACCGGCCGCAGGGACTCCTGGCCGAGACTGCCAGGATGGGAGCCAATCCATGCCCCAGGCAATGCCCCTTCCTGCGCCCGCCCTGCTGGGAAAGGTAGGGGGACCGCCTGGGGACCAGCGCCGTTAAACTGACTGGAAGCCCCAGCCGGAGGACAGAGACGCTTCGAGCACCCAGCAACGAGGCCTCAAAGCCCGAGTTCCATTCACAGCCCATTGAGTTAACCCACCGGCAGCTGGGCACCTGCCACCCGGCTCATTTACGAAGAGCCAGAGAATCATAAAACGCTTTCCGCCGGGGGAAACACGCTTTGCCTTCGGTGCAAGAGCAGCAGGCGGCTGCCGGAGCCAAGGCAGGGCAATAATAGCCACGGGGATGCGCCTTTAATGGGCCCATAAAGAGCCCCTGGGAAGGAGCAGACTTGTTAGGGAGTCGGCAGATTGCCCACGCCGGGAGCCAATGACATCGTTACAACTAGATAATGACCGGCAGGAGCCTTTGATCAAGCCAGACCCCCCCAGCTCAGAGCAGGACGCAGCGGAACAAGCTGCTCGGCTTTTATTTCATTAAAATGTTGTTTGCTGTTTTGAAGTGGATTTGGCTCAGGGGAAACGCGTGGCCAGCAGGGCAATGGCTTCTGCTAACCCCCAGCTCAGCTGGGCTAAGGGATTGAACCGGGACTCATGAGATCTTGCTTCCCTGCTTGGCTCCGTCAAAGATTCCCCAGGGGACCTTGGCCTATTCACTTAGTGGCTCCGTGCCTCAGTTTCCCCACCTGTGAAGCAGAGGGAGTTCTACTCCTCCCTTGAGCTGTCTTGTCCCATTAGAATGTGACAGCACATAGAACAATGGGGTCCTGTCTCAGTTAGGTCTCTCGGTACTTCAAGGGACAGCGGCAGGGAGCGCATCCCACAAGCCACGGAGTGGGAGGAACGTTCAGCTCCAGTGGCCCACTCCGTCCCCAGCCTCTTGGCTGACCCCCTCCAGGAGCCAGCGGAGAGGGCACTGGATGGGAGAGCTGAGTTTTATTCCAAGTTCTGCCAGTGACCCTGCCCAAATCATTGTGCCTCAGTTTCCCCACCTGCAAAATGGGGTTAATTCCAGCGGCCCACTTCGGTGGAACATGCTTTATAATCAAATGGGTGCTAGATAAGGGCGGCGTGTGAAAAGGCGCTGATGGGTTTTATTACATGGACAAATTGGTCACGGCAAACGGGGCTGAGACCTGCTAACTCGTTTCATATGGTCCAGGCAGGAGGGAGTAACCAGTTCTGCCAGCACCCCGGGGTTCCCATTTAAACCAGCGACGATGACAGGGTCAGAGCATCTTTCTTCTTGTAGCATGCAACGCCTAACTCAGGGCCTGCTTCCAAC